TCGGTTTAAGGAGATTGTGAATATTGTACTCCGTTTTTTTTAAAGAAAATAAACAGTGTTAAATCACTTATGGCATTTTATGATAGTTTGAACACTTAGTAATAATATTTTTATTTTAATAATTAATACTTTTAGGTGTGTTTATATAGAGTTTCTGTTTAAAGCATATTTGTACTTCTCTAACTGGATACTCCTGGTGCCGCATCGACGCTACCACGACAACCACGTCTTAGTTTCTATGGAATCCAAAAGGATCTTCAGCATGATAAATCTTAATATTATAAACGCTAAACTTTATAAGTATACCTATATCAACAGCGTATGTTTGTTACTCTATCACTTAAAAACTACTGAATGGATCTGAATGAAATTTGGCACAAAATGTATTGTAGTCTGGAACTGGAATAACACATAGACTATTTTTTAACCTGGGGTTGCAGGCGAAACTAGCTATAAATACGTCAAGTTATCTATATTAGGAATATTCTCCATTAATCTAGGTGTCGATAGACATCACTAGTGACGTAATCTGATTACTATGATGTAACTAACTAATGTTATAATGTGTAATGAAGCTGATATCGAGAAAGTCCGCACTTATTTTAATACAAGATCATAGCGCGGACGGCTTTATTAAATGTTTTCGTGAGATTACACCCATTTATTTATTTGGAACTATTAGTAAAAACATGATGTTATATAGCCTGAAAATACATATATTTTTATGCTACATGTCGGTGCCACCCATGTATTTTATTTATTTATTTATACACTTTATACAAAAGAATGTACAGGCGGACTTAATGCCTAGGCATTGTCTAACAGTCGACCTTCAGGTGGTGGAGAGATGAGAGTTGCAGGTGACAAAAGTATAGGTATATAACAAAATTTTATGACTATATGATAGATACATTACTTAGATATTAGGTGTATATATAAACATATAATAAAAATATGAATATGTTCACGCATCACTAGAAAAGTGACGAGTGTGTTGCCGGCTTTTTGGGGATTAAGATTTGGGATAATTAGGGGAAAGAGGGGAAGAGGAGAAGGATGTGGCTTCCAGTAACCGCAGTCAAATGGCGAAACAGAATGCTCTGATTGTTTTCCGACCGAGCCGACCTATTCGTGCCAAAGCAAGGCTTTCCCACATTTAAATCTATTTTTCTCCGCCTATGTAATAATGAGTCTGTTCATTTATATATTTGCTATGTACTCTTCAAAATAGACTGGAAGCTATTAAAATTCAAATCTAAGCAAATCGAGTAGGCAACGTCTTGCTTGGCAGTTGTGCGTGCTACCAATCGACCAACGCAGTCTTTCATTATCTGTAGCTATCTATGTTATGTGTAAGCGGCAATTAAGCTAAAGGGCTTAAAATTTGTTTGACAAAATTTCTAAATATTGTTTTTAATTTCAATTTCCGATTCTAAGCGATTCTGCGATTAAGATATATTACTTAATTAAATAAATGATAGGAAATTAAGGCGTATATTTACACCTCAGCCCACGCCTACAGTTTATCATAGAAGACATATTAAAGGTTTGAATATATTAATTAACAAAGCTATGTTAATTACCACAATATATCAATTAGCTATCGCTGATTATGACGTTCATAAAATACACATTTATTATATCGTTTGAATATGAAATAGCTTCTTATTTCATAATTAAGATATGTTAATAATTAATAACTAATTTCGGCCACCGGCTTCGTCTGTATTACTAGTGTAAAAGTCGCCTAATTGGTTATTTCAGACTATAATCTATATCTGAGCCAAATTTTATTCAGATCCGTTCAGTTGTTTTTACGCGAATGCGTAACAAACATCCATCCACACTTTACAGACTTTCGCGTTTATTACTGTAGTATGATTAAGTGTTAGGTACTACGTGTCATTAGGGACTGTTTCTTAGTTTATTGGCTGTAAGCATGATATTTCAGAACAAATTATTTTATTTCGAATAGGTACCGTATCCCTGATTTTGTGCAGCGGCTTTGTTAAGTAACTTGAATTTTTGATTAATATTTGACGTAAAGCGTCACAAGTCGTTCAAACGTGCTTATAACATGACTCATAACAAAATATAAGAGCATTCTTTTCGTAAATTTATGCTGGAGGGTGTGTTGTGTAGAGAGTTTTGAGTATGTAAATCGCATTCATGTACTTTTTATTACATTACCATCGGCTTCATTCAAAGGAATGTTTTAATTTATTTGCCCATTCACTGTTATCGGTATTCCAATCAGGATATTATGATTGTTTACCAAAATAGGCAGCGTGTACTTATCCGGGTCTGGCAGCCGCGCCTGTGTCTGGCGTCCCAAACAAGGTTCGAAGTAATTATGAAGTTCACGGAGAAAGACGCGAGTGGTTGAGAGACTGAACTGGGGACTTGCAAAAATAATGACACTGACTAATCTGTTAAAATAATTTCCTTGTTAAAATAAGTATGTTTTGTAAATTTTCCCGATGTATTTTACATTCAGTTATTACTATCCACTTGTTTCACCAATTCTTATGTAACTTTTTATGATACATATTTACATGTTTTAATACCCCGTATCAAAAAGGTAAAAAAATGATTTATCTTCTTTAATCTGGCTCGATGGTTTAGACCTACCTACACTTAAGTAAAACCTTGTTTTGTAATAAGGCCGGATGAGTTTAGGTTGTGAAGGTCGTTTTAAAATTAACGCTAACGGTTTTAGTACAAAACGAAGTTTTTTTTAATATTCGAATTGAAGGTAGGTGAGAATAAGATTCAAAATTCAAAACGAATCAATGGTTTAGTCTTCTTTTTGTGATGCGAAAGTCCCGCCCAGGGTGAGGCGGAAAGGAGTGTCAGACTTTTTCTGACTAAAATCTCCCCTGTTCCTTCTCTTGCTCTGGGCCGAGGCCGCGGTGCCTCATTGCGCTTACCCCGCCACCCCGGCTGAACATCAGCCCTGTCTGTGGTGTATGGGCTCTTTGTGGCGCGCGTGGAACACTACGCGCCGTGCGCTCTGGTAATGGTTTAAACCTAGACTAAAGATAAATTTTGTTTTGTAATAAGGTAGTTAGAGACGACTATTACTATTTAATTATGTCACAAAGCCAGACATGGTCCATGGTAATGGCACAGTGTCTGTCACCATGGTGTTTGGCGAGCGTGCGTCTGGCGCACACACCGCACAGGTGAGGACAGTGAAAGTGTTCGAGCTGCGCCTGCGCACCACCGAGTAACCGTGGGAATACTCCACGCTACGTTTTATTGATGCTAGCTGTAATATATACTGATAAGTTGTAGGAATGTGAAGGTGCCTGGCGTTTTGAGAAGTGACTAAAATTATATAATTAATTTAATTTCAAATGTATCACTATAAGAATAATGCACACGGAAAGTGACAAAATGGTGGAGCACATGGTGTTTATAACTAATTGTATAGCACAGTGCTACTGGTGCGCTTGCCACTTATGGTGCAGCAATTCCGAAAAGCCAGGATAAAAGTAACATTTACCGTTGTATTATGTATGGATAATGTCGGTAAGGTTTTCTAATGAAAGTTTTATCTTAATTATCACAGCAAAAACAATTGGTGGCACCGACAAACCTACACCTACGCGTCACTAAAACTAAGTGAATCGCTCTATCTAAATCCCCTAATTCTATATCATAAGTGTAGATATGGCACTGTTGTATATCACAACATCCAATATACTATCACTTGACTATTATTTATAACTTTTATACCAGCCACTTTACTACGTTAATATATTATTGTATATTAGTATTTTTATCTTTCCCCGTATCTTGCGCAAGTGCCTGCAACACAGGCTTATTACGAAACGTCTCGGGTTTACGATCAATCACAAATTCACAATCGAATATATCGATATAATCGATACTTCGTTATCGGGTTATCTTAGTTAACGTCCGTGAGTTAATCTATCGATAGTTCAACTTGGACCTTAATAGAGTTATTGTGTCTTACAATGGTTTTATCAAAACTATTTGTTTGTGATGGTAATGGGTATTGCTCGTGTGGTTGCTGGTTACACAACTAATGCTTGGTTTTATGGTGAAAATATAGAGAGTTGTTTATTATTCGTGCTGATGGATGTAATATATCTCTAATCACATTCCTCATAGGATTAACTTTGTATATTAGAGTTGAGGTATTTACAATCGATTTGAATGTTTTATGTTCGTGCTCGTTAGTTTTCTTAATTAATATTTGAAGTTCAAGTGATTTGTGCATTTATGTATATATTAAAATAATACGAAGCGAGGGTGCACTTACTCACCATACTGCACGCACTACATGTCACAACTTTCTGTTTAAGTGTAACGTTGTCTTATATTTATAATATCTCGGAGACGCGCCGCCATTGTGGCGTCAGGTGAAAAGCGCGCAATTTTCCGCGCCGCGCATGCGCACATTGTACCTGCGCACAAACCGACGCGCAGCTCCCTGTTTAATTATTTCCACGTCTGCGCAACTTTTGACGTAACACCTATTTAAATGATACGGATAAACATTTTCTTTTGTTTATACCCCGACCTAGAGTTGTATGATACTTTTGCTTATTAATTGATATTATCATGTTTGCGTCACGATTGTATAATGAAATACTTTTTGAACTAAATACACGCTTTTGTACGTAAAACTGTTATATTCTTAATAAGTATAAACGTTGAAGTGAGCCGGAGGTTAAGGCGCTCGCCTCTCAAGCATGAGGGTGTGAGTTTGAAACGTAGCAAGTAACTTTTGCCAAGTTACATGTACTTTCTTTGATTAATACATATACCACTGACATACGGTGAAAGAAAACATTGTGATTAGGGTAAAACCAGGTAATACCGGTCAGGAGGCATTACCGGTCAATCTAAAATCTCAAAAACTACTGTGTTCCGACGCAAGCACTCACTCATACACAGCGAGTGGCGTGATGTCGGCGAGCGACAACGCCCCGGTCCCCGCTTAATTCCGCAGCCGACTTCTTGGGTTAATTCACGTCGTTTGTTTTCGCGCCTAGTTGATGTAAATTTTCGGGATAAAACGATAACAGGTGAGTGTTTATAATTTCACGTTTCTTACATTGTTACCTAGGATTGTTGCACCATAATTATTTAGCATTCAGAGTGGTAATAGTTTTTTAACCTTTTTTGAGCAAGTATGGTGATTACCTATATGCTTCAACCCACTGCAGTACGATTGAAAGTCATAAAGTATAAAAAATAATTTAATATGCTTAAAAATAAGTTATAAATAAATTAGGTCTAGGATTCGATTGTCTCTGTCGGTGTGTCCGTCTATACGTAGTAGTACTGTGTCTTGGCGTGCTGCAGCATGCGCTTGTTGGCCCAATAGTTTTCCAGCACTAGCTCCTGCCGCCTGCTGTTCACCACCACCGCGAAGTACAGGAGAAGAGCTGGAACACAAACTGAATCTTTAAAACCGCTTGTTTTACAAGGACAATTGATCGTTACGTACAAGAGTTCAAAAAGTTTAAAAAACGTTGATGTCTTATTGCTCTGATCCACGCCAAATTATTCACACAAGTATCCTTCTTTCCGTCCCAACCCGGAATACACAAAACCCTAACCCGAGAAAACTGGTAACTCCTCTAGTGTTGCAGATGTTCATGGGCGTGCATGCAAGTATTCCAATGTCCGCCATGTCACATAAAAACAAAGATTAACCAAAACAAATAACTTTCACTAAATGTAAAAAGATAATTTATCAATAAATAACACACAGACCTACATTAATAGGTACTAAATAATGAGATGTGTAATACCCCAAAGCTTTGGATGAAGCTAGCTACAACCTACATGACTACATAACACGAGGCGAAATACAAGTTGAGTTAGCATCTAGCAAAACACAGGCACACAATAAAGACTACACTTAGTAAATAACCACGGCTGTATAGTACATGTACGCATGCGCAGGATCTTTGACCCCAAACCGCAAACAGAGTACAACACAGGTAATTACATTGATAGTACAATTGTCCCTGCACTGACAATACGTAAGCACCGCCACGCTGTGTGCCCGCGTAACCAGTGTGAAAGAAACCATAATATTTGTGGTACATTGTAATCATTAGTTTAATGCCTTTTTGTCTAAAGAAAATTATGTTTAGGCTTTTCTTCTCTTTGTTTTTACCAAATAATTTCGTACAATATGTAATGTAATTTTAGTTTTTCATTCGTGGACTTTGAACTGAACCTATTTTTATTTGCTTAATTCTATTGTGACTGGTTTTCATTAAGTCACTGAATATGTCATTTCTTAAATCCGAAGGTGGCCAAGGTCAGGTTAACCTTATGACGTTATGGTGTAGAGCTAAGATCCTTAAATCAACTCTTGAAACGTGTGGGAGAGTCATGCTCTGGCACGAATGGGTCAGTTCGATGGAAGTGATAAGTACCAAGACCTCACAGAAAACCGGCGTGAAACAATCGCAGCGTTGTGTTTTGTGATTGAGGTTACCGGACGCCTAATCCTTACCCTTCCCCATCCCTCCTCAATCCTTAAATCTGCATAACATCTTTGGTGTGCATGAGCGGCTGCTTACCATCAGGCAATCCGTCATCTGGTTCGCCGCCCTATCACATAACAACATGTTTTCATTTTATAAATCTAGATTGAAAAACTGTTTTGGCGGAATTGAATTGGCGCCACTCGTATTGATAAGGAGCTACACTGTACAGGGAAAGGATTGAGTTATCTATCGGAAAGCGAATCTGTCTAATCATCGGCATTAGTTATCGTCAACATTATTATGTTATCTGCCAGTAGGTAGCCTACTAAGTAACAGCTAAAGGCACCTCTATATTACTTACTTCCACTACCAATTAATGGTGATATCTAAAGTGTTGTAACGAGTCCTTCAAAGGGGATTTTTTCGACCTTATCTTTAGGTGCAATGACCATTTCATTGTTAGATCTTAATCTGTTAATTCTCTGAGATTATTTTTCTTTAATTTGCGGTAGATGAACACCCTACACCAAGTGATGTGCGAAAAGGACACTAATAGACTGACGATTGAATCTATCTATACTAATATTATAAAGAGGTAAAATTTGTAAGTTTGTATGTAGGGGGTAATCTTTGGAACCGCTGATCGGATTGCCAAAATTCTTTCACTGGTAGATAGGTACAATGTTCTTGAGTGCTATAGGCTATAAAACATCAAGCTACGATCAAATGGAGCTGAACAGCGGGTAAAACCGCGCGAGAGTAGCTAGTACGTTTATATAGAAGTACTTATTTTCTGAATTCGAGGTACAAGTTTTTGTACCCTTGAACTTAACTAGGATCCACGCTTTTGTCCTTTAAGGAGGCTGAGATAAAATCTATAAACAGCTTCCTTTCATACCTACTTTATAGCTGCTATCACATTCTGGTCATAGAGGCAAAATATATAAGTAAAGCAAATGGTCATTTTGGAAGATCTTTCTCATCAGATCTCAGTTTCACATGAAGTCAAAGTCAAAGACATTTATTTTACAAATACCCTTACACGCAGTTTTGAAAGATAAAAAGTATCAGTCGTATCGTGCTCGTTCCATAGTGTAGATTCCGATCATCCGAGAAGAACGACCAGGAAACTCTATGGTTACTCTTTTTAAATCAGTTTCACATACAGACTCTTTGGCACAACAATATTTACCTGAATAGACGAAGTAGACGGATATAACAGCGCTGGCCTCGGCGATGGTGTCAATGTTCCTACTGAAGGTGAGCAGCACCATGCCGGCCACTGTCAGCACCACCAGCACCAGCCCCTTCCACCACGCCAGAACCAACCACGGCCACATCAGCTGCGGCTTCCTCTGTAATCACGCAACAATGTTTAAGTAATGATATCATAGTACTTTGGATTCGGAAATATAATTTATTAGGTTGGTTATCTTTATATGCCTTTATAACTTGTTTTACTTCAGCTCAGGAAATTGGCATAAATAAATAAAAAAAGCAGAAGAGGACGCCACTAATTCTACATTTTTCTTTAATGTGTCAGGACGCCAAACTATCTGACGGATTACCTAATGGTAAGCAATCAGCGACGCCCATGGACACCCGCAATAACAGCGGATCTACTAACGAGATTTAGGGATTGGGGAGTTATAGTGGCAGGGGATTGGGCCTTCGGTAACCTCACTCACACGGCGAAACACAACGCTGTGGTTGTTTCGCGCCGGTTTTCTGTGAGCCCGTGGTAGGTATCATTCAAGTCGAGCCACTACATTACGCGAGTGAATTTTGCGTGCGATGCAACATAATAGCGCAGAACTTCGAGATTGAAGCTGTATCGAGAATAGGAACTTAAAACTTATACTTTTATAAAGCGGTATCCGATAAACTATTTGATTATTACATGTTATTATCGAAAGGAAAGAAATCATACATACCGAATAGATTAGCGAATAATCCGAATTATTTAATTAAGTGGAGTACCTACAGGAAAAAGATTATAAAAATGCGCCACACCCACTTCCAGTCGAATCGTAAATGAATTCGCACGTCACTAAGAAACACAGACATGTACTTATAGATATACATATAGGTTGTTAAGAATGTGGAAAACTATCTCACTGGGAGATGTCTTGGCTTTGTGTGAATAAAGGATGTGCAAAAAAAACCGACGAAGTATTTGAATCGCAGTATTATTTTAGTATTTTTATAATTAATCGGATCAAACTTTTCCAAATAATCAAAATATAGACGAATCTCTTGTATTTGACGTTTCAAAACCTATTTATGGTTTAGTTGCAATCAATGATTTTGATTTGATTTGATTTGAAAGTTTGAAAAAAATGTTTGTTCTTATTTAAATACTTTACGTAAAGAAATATCCTTATTTATTCATATATTCTGTGTAATCCTGTATGTAGTTGTAGTTCTACATATCGTAATCGTGTGTACCTATGTGTAAGCTTATCGTGATACGCAATCAATATTATTATATTTGGACTTATTTTGATTGTATCAGTGTCGTAATATTCTGTTTTCGTGTAGTAGGCTAATATTTATTGCATTTAATTCAATTATGAGGACTAACATTTTGGAATTTTATCTAAATAATGACATAATTTGTAGGTACTTGCTTGTGGCTGATACACTATAGTAAAAGTTTGAAGTACTACATATTATTATGCTGAAGGGTTGCAGTATCAATTTATTATCAAAATATACTGAGAGTCGCGTCAGTTATTCCCCGATATCAGATATTATGTACAGAATTCCTATTTATCTTTTAAGACGAAATATTTTATAAAACTTAATTTGTTTTGCAGCTTGTGTGAAATAAATTTGTAATAAAAGTTGCTATCAGAAATATTTATTCTCCTTTGAAATGACGACTGCGTCTTGCACATGGTTTGAAATTTTACGTAAGATGGTATCCACGTCACATAGGGATTTATTGATGATGTGATGACAATAATGATTACCTTAAACGAGCCATGTATCAGCAGTCCCCCGATGAATACCTCGACGAATGCCAGCAGAGAGAGCGTCACGTAGAAGATGAGGCGGCTCTGTGGCAGGTCGCCCATCGCCGCCAGTGGAGCGTACACCAGGATCGCACATACTGCCAGGAACTGCAACCAGTAACACGTCAATCGAGCATGCTAATTATACCGTGAAGACAGTTTTAAGAGACACTAAACCCAACATCAAAGCAATTATAGATGCAAGAACAGTCAATTACTACAGCTAGACGTTCGTTCCAAATCGTTACAATATTTCATATTTAAGTGTGTTTGGGCGAATACTCAATGTTCCAAGGTACCAGCCCAAAGCAAAAGAAGGGATATGGTAGTTTTAAGTCAGTAAGAATCTGACACTGATGCCTTGGGGTTGCGTGCCAGTAGATCTTCTCGTGGTAATAGTTTCTCCCGAGGTAGCGATACGGTTGAAGGGTCTTTTGCCTGTAGCCAACTTCTGGAGTCGGCAGGCTCTGAACTGGCATAGGATCTATGTCAATCTTAATCTTATGCGATTCCCGTATTCATTCAGTTTTTCAGTTGTCCGAGATAATGCCGTAAAATATGACATCATTTTCTTTTATACAAATTACTAAAAATTTGCTTCTTTGTCATCTTTTTTGACAGGGTTAAGCTACATAGTTATCATTATAAAAACATACACTTTCCTTGCAGTTCCTTGTTTGTTGAATTACCTCATCTTACATGACATTATGAAAATATTTACATAATACATATGTACTAACTAATACGTAGCTACTTATGCTTAACATTATGTTCATTAAATTTAATAAGTAAAATTTTAATATTCGTTTATCAATGAAATATTTTTTCATCGTCCACTTTGATACTCTAGTTACCTTAGATACTGCACTCCTTTAGATAAAATTTTACTTCTTACCATGATGTCATACTAAAAGCAGCCTAAATATTTTTCGCCTCGGTGTAATCAGTTTTAATATTTATTTGAATGAATTTTGCAGCAGTCATAAAATAATTAGGTTGCTTGAAAATGTACGCTATCTACTATACATAGCGTACATTTAAGTGGTTATTGTAAGTCGTACGCTCTTATAAGTATTGATAAGCTAGCTTCCTGCCAGCGTATTCGTCCGTAAACCTAAATAAATTATACACGTAACACTTAAAAAAACCGCACTATAATCTGTCACGTTGTTTTACAGATGTATCCTTGTTAAAGTGAGACTGTCGGTCGCCTCATCCTTCCACTCCCCCATCCCTTCTCAAGACCTTATACGGCTCAAAAGACTGGCAACACTTGCAATTACTCTGGTGTTACAGATGTCCACAGGTGGCGCCGATTGCTTACCGTGATCCATTTAAGCGTTTGCCATCGTATCACATAAAAACATATTTCCCCACGCCACGCCACGAATATATTTTCTCCTGTGTCGTTGGTGCGTTTACAAACATACAATATCACATACTTACACACCACACCCAGAACCGGAATAACAATATGTGTATATAAAGACTTATGCTATTAGTGAAATGTTTACCTAATATTATTTATACATATATTACAAACGTTTAAGTTGTTGCATGGTTCATTGCTTTTTGATAATGACACAGTATATTATGTATTACAATGAGCAAGAACTGATATTAAAACACAACTACTTATACCTATTTACCTATCTATTTGTTCAATGTGACTGCGAGTGCGATGAACTGATTATCATCAAATCAAATGACAATACAATGTAGTCTGTCTGCATACTTAATGTAGTATTTTGAGTCATCGTGCTTGATTGATTATTCAATGATTTTTTAACAAGAATTCTCCAAAATGTAAGTTGTTTTGTAAATGATTAACATAAGATACAATTAAATATTACATCTAATAGATGCGTTAACTTAATGACGCACTGACTGAGGTGATCGATTTGGAAAAGTCAATACGATAGTTTCCAACAAGTCAGTTTCACTACTTTAGTTGTAATTTAAAAACGATGCCTTTGATTGAGTTGGTGCGTTTCAAATCTTATCGCGTTACGGCCAAACTTACTATTCTTAGTCTTTGAATCGATCTAGGTTTTTGATAGAAACTTCATTGAACTACCTAATGGTTTTAATTGTTTTTGATTTCGGCCGTAAGTAAATACAAGGCTACAAGCTACTGCTATTGCACCCTAACTAAAATATTAATATTTATATAAGTTTTTATTAAACTTGCAATAAAAGCATGTACGTACCTACTGTGTTTGTGAAAATGAATTTGCAACTAACTTTTGAAGTAGATATTATCAACTGGTTGTGTTGATGCGCTGCATGCCTATAAATATTAAGCTTTGCATGGCTTTACGTGTCTTCGTGTTTAAAACGTCGTCGTCCTGATGTTTAATTACAATTTGTTCCATATAGCGCAATTATACATCGATCTATTCGCTTTGGAAAAGAACAAATGTACTCTTGTACAATGTACGGGTCACGAGGTTGAAGAGATCACATGGACCATTAATTAGAACTAAGTAATATGTCGTACAGCTGTGTTTTGTAACAATATTTGCAATTACTTGTGGTCGGGTGTTATCAACACGCGGCTAGTGTTCGCAATCTATCGATTCCATTCCCTTATCAGTGCACTTCTAACTTAAGTACCAATATGGTAATGGAATGGAAGAAGATACGTTGCACAGACAACAAGGTACAAATTCAAGTGTGGTGAAGCCATCCGGCACGAATGGGTCAGCTGGTGGTGTTGGCGGCCTCACTGAAAACAGGCGTGAAAAAACCACAGCGCTGTGTTTCTCCATATGAGTGAGAACCTTTATACGAAAAGGCCGGAAACGCACTCGCAACATTTCTGGTGTCTATGGGCGGCTCCGATTACTTGCCATCAGGTAATCCGTCTGTTCGTTTGACGACCGGTGACATAAAAATAAAACAGTGGAGTTTTTAGTATAGGGGCTGCTCGGTTGGCACAGTGGCTTGGAGACAGACTTTTGTGTAACTAGTGCATCGGGGCGATTTCCATTCATGGATCCCCCTTTAATTTTGGATACCCTTTTTATGATTGACAAATTGTTGTCCCGGGTCTAAGTCACAATCAGACCAGAGACACTGTGATATGTAAAAATCCTATTCTACATAATATCGCATTGCACTTTTATAAATAAATATTTATTACAGAGATTATATACCATAATCTTCAAGCCTTTGATTACCTTCTGCTGCGCAAAGGCTTTATCTCATTTGCTTAATGAGGATTCGTAGTTTCATAACAGTGGTGTCTAGATTAACTTAGAAAGTAACATAACTCGGGAATAGTCACATTAGGGTTCGATACTTGGTTACTATACAATGCTAATGAATGCTAATTCAAGAAATAATTGTTTTCTTTTCTTGGTTTAAATATTTTTTAGTAAGTAAATGTTTTTTTCCCGGATAGATAATTGCTGTTTATCGATAACAAATTAGGTATATCATTGATTAATTAATGATGAAAATGTTGAGGTATGTAGCTCCCTACTGGATTAGATTTTGAATTTTTGATGGATGCCTTTTACGAATGTGTAAAATGTTCATGTCGACAAAATACCTAATTATATTTATATGTATACATAAGTATAGCACACTAATAAACTTGGTCTCGGAGCAGTAATGTTATCTCGTATGATCTAATTACCTAGTTATGTAGCAGATAACTAGCAGGCTAAGTGTGTACCTAAATTATGAGAATTTATTTTGCATGCTAACTAAACACTAGCCGGCTGTGACTGCGCAACGTTATTCCCAAAATATTATCGAGGTTTCTGTTAACTCACGATCGTTGAATTATAGACTCTAATAGTAATAAAATTGGGACTAATATTATTTGTGATTTGTAATGTTGCCTATTTCTATTCACGATGTGTCATTTTAAAGTAGGTAGTTCGTCTGTGAAATTAATTTATAATGTCATGGTATCGGGACATTTTTACCACAATTTTGATATTTCCATAGTAGGCACTAAAGATAATAATTATGTACTCAGTAGGTAGATAGGATACAATATCGAAAACGTGATTCGCTAAAACAAGTCGCTTTCTCTGTCCAGTGACGCAAAGAGTTTGATGCGGTTTTATTAATGGATAGAAGAATGGAAAAATTGAAAATAAAGTTTTATAATAAGAGCCATTAAGTACTTAGTCGAGTTTAGTTTCAGCATTGCAGCATCAGCAATGCTGATACTGAATCCCTACAAATATAAATAATCTTCTACAATCACACTATCTATCAAAAAAACTGCATTAAATCTGTTGCGTATTTAATTTATACTAAAACTACTACGAGAATTTATTTTTTTATTTCAATTTTAATTAAACTAAGCCCTTTTCAAGTTCGTTTAAATAGGTATAAAATTGGCAGTGCCTCTACCAGTTTTTTTTATAAAATACTCTAAGCCCTAAGGCCTCGTTGACACACACGCTGGTGTCATGTAAGATTGCAGCAGCAGATCGCATCATCAAACACAAACATCAGATAATTATCTATGTTATGAGCAATGTCTATCAGACGCTTTACCTAAGAATGGTCAAGTAAATCCAGATCCCAACACATACATATTTATTTTTGTATCAAGTCCTTTACAACAATGAGTGCCGACAGTAAATAACTCGCTACCTAAGGTAAGTAGGTACGTACTTGTATTATCGCCCTCTATTACAAGTGTAGATGACAGATATAGTTTATTATTTTCCGGTTCTTTGTAAACTGTGTGCAATATATAAAATGACCGCTTATCGAAGTGTTCGCGTTAAATCGCCTTCAATATTTACTTGGTACTGAGTAGTCGAGTACTGAGTATCGATGTAACATTTGACTCATGTTCCAAGAAAATCGATGTAAATATATGAATGTATAAAGTATACGTGAAATCATATTTTAAATTTGGAACGATAGTTTTTGTTCCCCTCTTTTTAAATAAGGAATGCAGCCATATTTTCGTTTTCGCGTGTGTGAGTGCAGTGTTACCGTACATAAGTTTTACAACACTTACTTAATCGTGATTCTTCAATATTGTCATTTGTTTTGGGAATAAAAATTATTAACGCGACCGAAACAGTATGGTAAAGCCAAAAGGCTCATAGTTTTTTATTCAAATGTTTTAACTTCAATATTTTTAACGAAGGCAACTGGCTGTCGTGCAACGTGTCGCGAATTCGATTCCTGTACGGAACAATTCTTTGTGTGATTTACAAATTGTTGTTCCGGGTCTGGGTATGATGTGTATGTGAAATTGTATGTTAGGTAACGTACAGGAGAAAAACCAGTGTATGGGGCAACGTTATCTTATAAATATAATGAAATTAAAATATATTTAACCTTAACTAATAACTGATCCTTGGTAAGCATCGTTAGATCAGAGTTGTCAGCCGGAACGGGTCTCCTCCAACCTTTTTCATTCAATTTTTTGGAGTCGCTCTATGCCATATAATTCCTGCTATTTGTCTGATGACCAGTTGTGTGGACTTTCTCTTTTACCTTTCTTTGGGTCATGTCATGTCACTCTTTTGCTCCATTTATCACAACCACATTAAGAGCACATCTCCACTCAAATCTTGTTTTTTTATGGTTTAGGAGGATAACCAGCAAACCACCACAATATCCTACCGCAAGTGATCGGCGCCGCCAATGAATACCTGTAGTACAGTAGCAGGAGTAGAAGGAGTACCGACGCTCGTTTCTTGAAAAGTTTAAGGTCGAAATCGGTTCAGGAATACACCCACCAGAGGATCATCATCCGCATATCATTGATATGGAGGTGGAACAGACTGGGCGCTAGCACACTTCCCCCTTGGAGAGTTCAAGGCCTCGCCTGTGCCCAACGGTGAGTCAGGTAAACTGGACCTTTACGGAAAACGTACTAAGAAGCTGATGATTCTCCAAGTACCGAAGGAGCTGGCAGTTTATGGTTGGCTCCATAATGTTCTATGTATTATTTCATTTTGTTGCCCTAACAGTTTCCGTATTATTTCTGTCACACCTTTTAACGTTAAATACACACTTTCCGCTGCATGCTGCATGTTGGCAAATTGCCAATTGGTAACTACTGTATAGGAATAATGTGAGTCATAACCTGACCTAGCTAACCGAATGAAATTCATAAATTGTAAGGTGATAATAAATTAGAATAAAATAGTTGCGTGATTTGAAAATACAAATACTATATCTACATAATTATTAAAAACTACCTACATATTATATAGCACTCGACGTACAAGCGGTACGTCGAGTGCACACATATGTATTATTATGTATTTATTTGATGTCTTCTGATTTTGTGTACATTAAATTCATAGCTGTACTGAGTATATTGAATTTGATAAACTTTGATAGGTAATACAATAAATCGTTTGATACAAATCTCATATAAAAAGTTTTCCATCACTTTGAGTTGATTAAAACATATTAATTTGAACTCGACTAAAGGTCGAACTTACTTAATTAGAGGTCAGCTAATCCAATAGATAATTAGCTGCACCTATATAGATAACAACGTGCAATTAATCTAATACAAGTATTGCGGATATACAAAGAGTAAAAATAAAAATTTAGAATTTGATGACTTCACTGTTGCATGTAAACAAACGCGTCGTTGTAAAATATAAAAATTCTGGACAATAAATGAATGAATACTGACAGTGTATAGGATGCCGATGATCTTAGATCCAAGCTCCAGGCTGAAGCAGCAGCAGCAGTTGTCCACACTCAAACACATGTTTAATTGACCAAATAATTAGTCGGACTAATTATTATAATAAAATAACTATAGAGCCGGCTCGCTCGGCCGTGTAGCTCGTCGGTCTCGTCACGCGGACAGCAAGCAACTGATAAGATTCCCTTATACTCACACTATCTGCCGCTAGGGTGAGACCAATTATCAGCACTATGTTAATCTACACTAGCCACTAAAAGCAGTATCTGTGTTTTACTAAAAATGTCAGCCATCAGTGACATCAGCCGACATGTAAATATGAAACATTTTATGCATTTTTAGAATTGGTATCAGTTAAATTATTTTAGCACCCAAGTGCTTTATTGATATGAGTCGCATTTCCATGGAAACAATTGGCGAAAACAATAAAAACTTAGTGTTCGGGTATCTGGACTATCTGGTGGGTTTTATAAGCATGATGTGAAAGAATAGAATGAGGCGCGTTGTGTTACCTGTAAAATTTATTTAGTGAGATAAGCGTAGTACATAGTCAAGGCAAGGTTATGGTTAACGGTACCTACTCACCTACTTCTAGATTTAACCGTCACATCACACACTCCAAACAGATTTCTTATCAATCTCATTCAGATTTACTAGAATAGTACTACGACCACCGATAGATTAATGTTCATGCTTCGAATCATACATTAAGAATAAAATATTTACTAAGGCATAGGTAGGAATTTTTCTAATGTGACAAATCTCATCATCCGTGGGTCAATTTCGCAATCGTACCGTTGCAAGATGGTGCGTCTTATTGAGCTGCAAAAATAAATGACATACAATAAATATAAATAAGTAATGTTGAAACATATAATTATATTAGTATCATTTTCGGGAAAAGAAAAGGCAATACAAAATACAACTACCTATTAATAAGTATCCTATCAAGCTCTTTCTCTCAAACCTTTTACTAATAGAGTTTGTAAGAGAGTAGAAACGTACTTCTTGTAGTACGTTAGGTATCTACACATACACAGCTGCACCTTAATAAGGATGTCACACGCCAGTTTCCACGGACTGTAAGTGGATAACTGGGTAAAACGGAACACCCAAATCATACACTCATTGCATTCACAGCTGCACACGAATCCGTCGCGTTTACGTAACTCATATAGCATGCAGGTGATCGCTTTAAAAGTAGGAAAGTACTATATACCTATCTCTTTTTGTTATCATCAAAGTCTGGAGCAAAGAGGAGTGTTAGACTCTTCTGATCATCAACCACCCAGTTCATACTCCTAGACGGGGCTGCGGTACATTATTCCATTTGATCTAATAAGTTTATCTAATGTTTTTACTAGATATAGGTGACATAAACTTCATAGACACCTGGTGGTAAGCCATCAATGCTGTTTATAGACATTCTCAGTGTTGAAAGAGCGTTGTTTACCTTTTGCGGATCGAGCATGGTTCTGTCGCACGTCATAACATTTAAACTATTATTTTTCCTTCTTTAAACTTTGATCGGTTCTAGCCTATATTTATTTATTTATATATACACAAGAAAATATACACTGCTACAAGGTGGAGTTAATGCTTTAAGCATTCTCTGTCAGTCTGACCTTTGGGTGACAAAGAAGAATACCGATGGCATATACAAGAAGCAAGCAGGATATTTATTGGAAGCGTACACTGCTGAAAACGTGTATTTATACATATAGTTAGGTAGCAGAATGAATCGTTTCGTTGCGATCATCAAAGAAACATTGCAAGTTGCGAGAATTACTAGTTTGGATGTGAGAATTAACACTTTACGAAGGTCACACGATTTTATAACTTTGTCACAACTCGCAAAATATATTCTAACGGCATGTCCTTCCCATGCCGTTAGAAGTTACAATATAGGAGTTTTGTTAATTTGGGAGAGGGAGAAGAAACAGAGTTAAATAATTAGATGTTACAAAATAGTCATCAAAAGATTTCAGTTAATATAGGAAAAATTGTGGAAAAGGGTCGCCCTTTTGTCATTAGCGAGGTAGTTGGACAGCCGTGCGACACATGGAATTTATTGCTTTCGTTCTTAAAAGAACATAAAAGTAACACAATTTATAAGTAGTCAGTCAGTGTTGAACTATGTAGCTTTGAAACACACAATGAACGTTGTAAATAATTTTTTTATTATTTATACTTATTAAATTGTGAATACATGTGGTCATTTTTCGTGTTTGAACAATGAGTTTAGCATCAGTTTGGTTGGATACGATAATAAATAAATGATGAAATAATCATCACGCTCGCACGTCTCCGCAAGATTCTGGAGTTAAACACACTGCCATAACGAACATTGGTTACTTGGAAAAGTAACTGATCACTGGTAAAGTGGAAGGAAAGAGACCTAGAGGCAGAAGTCCGGTACGTTGGACGGATCAGATTCGCACCACTCTCAACACTACAATCCACGATGCTCTCCACTCGGCGGCAGATAGAAATAGATGGTGGCGAGTAATACGCAGTACACTGCTTCCACTAGGTGTTCACGAACCTCAGCATTGAGGAAACCGACGCGAGGAGGAGGAACCATCACGCTAAGACAAAGGAACCGTTACCAGGGCGTAGGACTTTTAGTAGTGTTTGTGCTATGACGTGTTCTGATATAGGCGCCAATGTAGGTATGAACTCTTTTACTATTTAAGTATCTACTTAAATACAGAAAAGATTAAAAAGTGTAGGTAAATAGAACACCTTAATTTTAAATTAATCGCGTATCGCGCGTATCAGTTGAATAGAAAGAATTAAACAATGTGAGATAAGGGGCAGGCGTCACTAGTGCATCGTTATCAATCGCGAAAACATGGCGGCCAGCGATTACTACAACCGTGTTACAGTGATAACGTACCCTTGACGCAGAGCTAACGTGATCTCAACGATTAATAATAGCACAAGGAATTCCGATGGTTTATAAATACACCGCCACGTTCCTGGGTCATTAACGCTGAAAGTGCAAGATGGGAGTGCCCATGGTCAACAGATGCTGCTTCTGTGCCACTCTACATACAGGGACCTTGATTATAGGATATGTTTATACAGTGAGTTTGTTTTTTTTTTGTTTCGCTTTGACAGCTATGTGATAAGGAAACCCTTTTCCGCTTTTTACAGATTTCATTGTTTTGAGCTATGTCCTGTGTCAATTTTATATATATTCTGCTAATTTGTCATGATCTTGCAATGATGCACGTAATACTATTACTATTAAATTCTATTTTCTATTTGCATAGTGAACAGATAAAACGATTAATGTCAAGGTTATAATTCCGTAGCGCCTGACGTTTTTCTCTGAATACCATGTTTTCTTGCGTACGGAATGGAACCAGTTGCTATGGTAATGGTTTACTTTTTTTTACCTGTTCTTTTTTAATTTACCAACTTTAGGAAAACAAATGCAGTGTCATTAATTTTTTATTGTTTACCTATTGAAAGTAGCTTAAACAAAGGCCACTTGCCTGCTCACCTTTGTTGCACCTTTAAAGTTTATCTAATCTTAAAAATAATAACAATGCAATGATTGCTCATTTACTTTAAAAGTTATTTCAAAACAATTAAATCTCAATTAGAGATCAAATATCAATATGAAAAACTATTATGTTTCCAGGTATGGGCACTAATAGAGCTGACCATATACTGTCTACTGGTGACACTGGCACCTCTTGGCAAAGACGGGACGGTGTCGATGCACAAATATGTGTTCTACGTGACTGCAGCCTGTGTTAGCGGGACACATCTCATCTGTTCTGTGCTCCTAGTAGTCGCCGCTTATAAGGTAAGGATCTGAACTAATAAAAATGAGTATCTTTAAATCAATAAGTGGGTAGGTACTTAACTGACGAACTGACTGCAGAGGTGCGAGTTATATGTCATATGTCTTAACTCCGTTTTTGAAGTCCCAGCTAATCATTTAAGTATGAGAGAGTCAAGCATCTTCACGAATAGGTCGGCTCAACCAGAGTGATACCACGGCTTCAAAGAAAACCGGTGTGAAACAACCACAGCGTTGTGTTTCGCTATGTGAGTGAGGTTACCGGAGGTCAAATCCTTTGCCCTTTCCCCATCCCTTCCTAATCCTTAAATATCCGAAACCCTTGTCCCCAAAAGGCCGGCAACGCACTCGTAACCCCTTTGGTGTTGCGAGGTGTTCATGGGCGGCACCGATTGCTTTCCATCAGTAATCCGTCTGCATGTTTCGTGACCTATTCCATAAAAAATAAAAAGCCATTTTCTAACGGGCGGACGCCTGAAACTAAGTCACTCTTCGGCAGTCCCAAGTATCACAAATAGGCAAACGAGTGAGTGAACAGCTGTCATTATTGATATATGCATCCATCTTACGCATTTCTTTCTCTGGGTTTCAGAAACTGGCATCACTAACATTGCCGTGGACTATAGTGACGGGTATCATCACGGCGATATACTTCCTGCTCTCCTTCACCGGCATCAGCCTGGTGCTGCAGGATGAGGGGGAGATGCTCGAGGTGGAGTCCATCGTCATATTTATACACCTCGCCAGATCATGTGAGGATAATATTTCTTTTGTATTTTGGTTAACTAAATACCTACCAATGGACTAAGTACCTACCTAACATAAGAAAATAGGTACCATGTTTTTAAATTATCAGAAAAATCTTTATAGGCTCGCTCCTGAAGTCGTGTCATTTTTGTTGCACAATTTCTGCCTACTACCTACCTACTACAACTTAGAATTCTATGAATATAATCTAGAAAAATATAAATTCAGAATTATAAAGCTAAGACGATTAATAACACAAAATTGTTAATTTTAATATTTGTAATACCTTTTTGTTGACAGTCATCACAATATTTTCTTAATGCAATAAACATTTATTTTTTTCAGTTATCTCAGTGTATTGCATCGTTGTGGTGCACAGTCGACACAAACAGATCATGCACGAGGAGGATGAGTCCAGGTTCCAGCATTCTGGTCGAATCTATCATCCTGTGAAGGTGGAAGATCACGTTTTATAGACTATTTAGCTAGACCAGACTAGGTAGATATATTGAAAACCAATGTTACCAGTATCTGTCGTACCTACATTTACGTAGCTTTTAATTTGCATTTACTTGCATACTTGTTAAAGTACTTTAATTTGATAGGTAGGTACTAACATTAATAAAGTGGCTGAATATTTTCTGCATAGCAACATTAATAGGTACTTTTTATGATACAACAACATCCTATGGGTCACTTGTTGTTTCTGGTTATGTATGTTTAGTTGTGACAGTTATAAAAGTTTAGTGTTGAATAAATGTATTAATAAGTAAGTTTGTTAAAGTCCATGGTTTGTCTAGTTTTGGCATAAAAATACTGCCCTAACAAAGTGTCTACATTATAATACCAAAATGATTATGAAATGACCTATTTTAAATTAAGTAAACATTTGTGATAAAACAATTAGCAACGAATTACATAGCTAATTTTATGTTCGTAAGTAATTTAATTTTAAGAATATGGTGAGATTGTAACGCTTTCTACAAGTTCCTGTAAGTCAAACTAATGAATTTATACAGAGTCAAAATATTTAGTTAGTTATGTCTTACGACGATAAGTATTGTGTAAGTACTTAGTAAATAAAATATTTAATTGTTATTTATTTTTCATGTCTATGTTATTTAATTATTTCCAAACTTTTTTAAATTATATAATGGCTCTTTGCGTACTTACCTTTTTAGGTAGAATTATACAGTCACTTGTGCCAATCTGGGTGGCGTGGCGCTAGAAAGAGTGCCACACTCTCTTTGTAGGTACTCTTACTGGCTAAAAACCGACTCCAATCCTTTCCGTCCTGCTCGACGCCGGGCGTTTGCACCTGGAACCCGTTGTATATTTTTTATGGAATAGGAGGCAAACAAGTACAGGGATCACCTGATGGTAAGCGGTTGGCGCTGCCCATGGACACCCGCAGCACCATCTAGGTAAGTGCATAATCTAATAAATAGAATCTATTAAATAGAAATAAGTTAAAAAATCAAGGTAATTAAAGTAAATTTTACTTTATATCCCTTGCTTTTTTAACTTACAAGAAATAATATATAATCGTACCTATGCTCTTATTTCTTAATCTGTTGTTATAAAGATCCAGTCAGTCCAGTTTTAGTTTTAAATAAACTAATTTTGATTAAAATACTATTACTTGTTTTTATTTACTGTTTTTATCAGCGTGACTTTAATTGACTTTAATAAGCATTTTCCATGTCATATTGCTGTAAGTGAAACGGAACGCGCTGCTTACGTCAGAGAGACGTCGTCTTGTTGGCGCCATTCAAAACGACAAAACAGTGTGTATCACCGGTCACGGTCGCACATATAGGAGCTAGATAAATGCGTCTCACTCACGCCCAAAACATTATTCTTTGACCAAAGTAGAGATTTTTATTTCAGTGCAAATCGTCAAGTCGAATTGAATTGTTATTGAGTGTATTCGAATTTAATTACGAGCGTATAATCATTAATGTTACTATTACAATTTGTTTGTAAGTGATCATATTTTTTTGTGAAGATTTGTGAAGGATATTTTGGTTGTAAGTATACATAATTATTGTAATATTTATTATTTTATTACAAGGTTACTTGACGTCTGTCGGCTATGCTGATTATAATTTTCAGCCACCAGATGTTTACATTCCGGTTTTATCTTTTAATGTACCTATTTAAAGATATTATTTTTGCTAAATATTATTTATAAATCGTCAGGAGTATGTATGGAAAACAATGCGCGGCTTCTAATTGGGTTTATGTTTTCGAGAAAATGTAAAATTATTGCGGCTTAGGGCTTTCTTTAGAATAATCATTAATAATATTGACATTTCGAATTTCGAATGCCTTCAAATTGTTTTTTTTTTGTACCTTTACAATTGCCTTTACATGTTAAATCTATCTGTGTGGTACCTAATCTGGGCACTCCTTTAATAGCTTTTTATTTATCTTACCACAGGATAGAAAGTATATAGCAATTAGTGTAGGACTAAAGATCAATAAAAACGAAAGTCACTTTAATTGATATTTTAACACTTATGTGCACTAAAAATTAAGAAGTATCTATGTAAACTGGTGTTTGATGGTGCTGATGACAAAATTAGAATTATTTTGTTTATAAAACGACTTCATTTAAGTTCATTTCATAGATATTCTCATCTCTGTAGCTACAAGTGCATGTAAATAATCACTCAGTTATTACCTTCTTTGGTCTTAATCAGTTTATCTTGGAAACTTTTATTTTTATTTGTTTATTGTAACCATGAATGTACTTTCAAAATACAAAGGCGGACTTAATGCTCCAACACATTCTCTACAAGTCAACGGCAAGGGTGGTGCAGAGAAGTGTTAACAATAGCTTCTAAACAAGCACTCAAATTATTAATAAGCATAGGTTCACTAGTATGATATAGTGATTTTGACTTTGACTTTATCTAACAAACTCATAAATAATACTTACATAAATAAAACAATCAAATTTGTGATGAACGGATTATGAATGTATGTATACAAGAAACAAAACAATATATTACTGAGATGAATCTGTCAATTTCTCTACGAAAATATTTGTGAACTTTAAATTTGAAAGATAGACGACTGGTTGCCGTCTTGATATCCTTGTGCAATACATTCCATAGCAAAACTGATTGAGCTGAAAAAGAAGAATGTATAACGTCAGTCCTATGTGTGGGATGTTGAAGGAGAAAATTATTTGTGATATTGATGGTTGATTTTATTTTTATGTCAACGGAATGGACTCTGCACTGAAGAATAAAGAATAAGAACTAAACACCTTTTAATTTTAAAAATTGGTAGGGTGAGATGCACAAACAAGTATAATGTGACATCCAGTTTTTGTCAATAATTTTATTACGAGGTATTAATTTGTTTTTAAATAATAATGAAACTTACAAGATAACAAATAAAACAAGTTTCAATGTATTAAATGTATAAGTTGTTTTAGTGATTACTAGCAGTTGATTGGTATGTTGTGTGCACTTGTGGAATGCATACTCTGACATTTATTATTTTTTAGCTTGCTTTGACATGTTTTACATTTAATTTCTCATTAAAAGTCTGAAAGTCTTAGTTACTCATACCAATAACAATATTATTAAACTAGAACATCCTTATAGATTCACTTATAGGTAGGATAGGTTATCCTTATTTTTAACTGAATTAAAAAAAGGAGGAGGTTCTCAATTCGACACGTATTTTTTTTATGTATGTTAATATAATTATGTAGTTTTGACACTGCTTTTGAAACCATTAAGTCTTTGCTCTGCACTGAACCAACTATGACATTTTTCGGATGGGAAACATTATAAATATTATCTACTTTTATCAAACCTTTATTTTACTTTTATCAAGTGGGCATAGACACGACTCGTACTGGGTAAAAAGATGAATGACATATTAAGTAAGATTATCAGACTTTTGAACTGCAGTCACTCATGCAATCATGGCAAAAAATATAAATCTTTAACTTCTTTTTGACAGCATGTAAATTCAATGACAATTAATATAATTGACATTAATTGTTTAATTGATGACTGCATGATTGGTACAGTTACTGGACATCCATTGCTGCGCAACGCATCGCGCGGGTTCGATTCCCGCTTGGTATGATTGTACGAGAAGAATATTTTTTCAATGCGCACACTAATTGTTTGATTTATGTGTCTGAGTGGGTTATTTAACAATGCGCCAAATTCAATGAGCCGTGAAACAGCCAGGGAACAGCAATAACCATAACTTAGATGTAATCTAGTCAGTTGCCTTAATTCTTATCAATTAGCGACATCTTCGCGGTTAAATGGCGGATGACCTTGGACAGAGGCATGTGCGCCGGCGCAGAAAGGCGGGACGCCAACCGTTATTATTAGTGGCGCTAGAGGCTATAGAAGTATAGTTGTACTATCTGGCCGCCCAGTGAGCCGGTTTTGGTCCAGACAACAATATTGACCATCTGCATTTCTGAGTATAAAGCGTGTTCCACTAAACAAAACGATACTAGGTGTTGTCCCTGAATAAATTGGCCTTGTAACTGCCAGACACTAGACAGCAGAATGTATTGAATTGTATGAAAACGCCAGAGCTTAATAAGGTATTGCGTCACCTGACCTTGTGCGGTATTTTTAATGTTCTGTTTCCATTTAATCTGATTTTAGAGCCATTTTCAGTCGACATGGATGACATACACCTTCAGCAGTAAATCGCGCTGTTTGACCCAAAAGCCAACGCTAATTGGTTTGACAATGTCAGTTAACATTGTAAACAACATTGAGAGCCTCCATAAAGGTTGGATAAAAGTGCATCCATTACCATTATTATCTACCACCAATCAATTAAGACCAGACAGATAGACCTATGTTATGGATGTAACTGCCAATCAATAATTTAGTATGGCGACGATACTTATCTATGGGTAGGAGTATAGGTCGTGACTTCAGTAAAATATATAGATTAAACCATGACAGTTTGTTAACATTACGTTCGACAAGAGAACTTCTTTCCTGTCTAAAATATGTAACATAAAAATAGAAGCAGAACACAGTTGTTTTTGCGCATGTAATCATGATAGATGCCGGGAGTGCGATGCGAGGTTTAATAGGTCACGGACGACATTAGCGCCGGCCACTCAATAGAGGAACAAAATATTTGCGCGCTAGAAAAACATACCTACATCTCTAGTATTACTATGCGATGTAGGTAGTATGTAGGTACCTACTACTGAATGCTGCTTGCTTGATGTAACTGTTGCCGGCTACTATTTTCCCTGATAGAATGAATCATCCGTTCGTAAAATATAAAATAATTTATAAAGCTGAAGAGCGTATATTTTTAATGGAACGCCATTCGACTAATATCAGTACGATATGAAATGATATTTTTGACAACTACATAGGTAAGTTCGAAAACGCGATAACTGGATATATATATGTAGTAAAAAAAATTGTAAGAGAGTTGTTTCGATTACCGTGTGTATTAAAAGATAGATCAGATGAAGTCGATTGTAGATATTCCCACCCTGTATAAGGACAATCAATAAAATGAGCTGACGGTTGTCCTTGGTGGTTCACTATCATCACTAGCGGGATCTGGGTGTGTGGTGCAAGGTACAACACTCTCAAGTTCCTATACTTATTTGATGCTGAAGAATTTGACAATCTCAGGTAATCCGATAATCGGAATCATGTGTAAAACTTACACCGGTTTTGATGCCAAAATTTTACGTAGCAGCAATTATGGCCCCTAGAAACTTATTTGGCTAATTGTTGCTTTTAGCTTTTAACGTAATTGTGTTATTTTTGGATCAAGTTTTTTTCTGGAAAATGTTGTGTTCTATGTTCACTTACCCTATACCTTCCCATTGCTTCAGTGGCTGGAGAACCAATTGCAGCGCAATTCTGCGTGATCTACAAACGGTCGTTTCGGGTCTATGTCTTTGTGATATGAAATTGTATGTTTGAATTGAAAACGCAACTGTGAAATAGGACAGAATTCTAGAAATGGCCAACTTTCTTCAGTAAAATCTTGATCAATCGCGTTTCGCTCATGCCTTAATCTCGTCGGTACTTACATCCACGATAATTGCATTGTCAGTGCACACGTATTAACGTGTAAAACATCAGGACTTGTTTGATAGCCGTCCAGCTGCATCTGTAGCTCAGTGTTACCCTGACAATGGCGTCGGACGATACCCAGTAAGTCAATCTCTCTTTTTCTAGAATTTTTCATTCTTTTGAAAGTTTTTGTTTTACTTTATTTCACTCCATTTTAACAATTTTATTGTGGACTTTTGAATCGACACTGCAATTCCCAAATCTAAGTTTTTACTTACAAACCTCACCTACGTGACATTTTTATATTAGTGTTTTGTTAAGTCACATTTTAGACTAGGTATTAAAATATTCAAGCAACGGATATGTATGCCTTTCTAGTTGGTAGTTAGTCAGTTATTGTCAGGCATACATAACGCAAAATTGTCTCGAATTGAGTTCATTGCTCCACGCTGGAAACTGCATAGACCGATTTGATTTCTAATGATATTATGTATTCATATCGCGTACCAATAACCAAATTAAAATAATCCTCTATGATAAATTTCAAGCTAGTGCTGCCACCTAAATAAGTGAAATTAAACTTTTAGAAAAACGTATAGTTCTTAAACCAAATCGGCCATACCAAACAGTACCTATGTATTTTGTTTGAATATAATGTAGCTTCCCAACCTCCCAGCTATAAATTAATCATAGGTTTATCCTACCTAAATAACAATATGCTTCTATTATAATAGTTTCTTCCGTCTATATATTTGTATATTATTATTTACATTATAAATAAACATTTCCTTACATTACTAAGCAAGGAAAACAATCTGGTCAAGACCGGCTGCAATGTATCGCGTTCCTTATTTTATTCAAAGTCAAAAATCATTTATTCCAATTAGACCTTTACAGGCACTTTTGAACGTCAAACAAAATTAAAAAAAAAATAGTGTCAGTCTGTCAGTCAGTCCTCTTAGTGAAGCTATTTGCTCGTTCCAAAGTGTAGATTACGATATTTTATATTGGAATAATAAAACTTGAAATATTTGATCTTCATTTGACCGGAGAACATCAAGACATGCCTCTAAGTCTGTCTGTCTGCGATGTCTGGCACTACAAGGTCGAATTGGGTTGAAAATATATGCAATACTCCCATAACATAGACTCCTGAACCACTATAGCCGATATTCTTTATTACTTGATTCAATATTAAATCCTAGTGTATTGTAAACTTATTTGAATGTCTAATTTGTAATGCACGTTTGGTAGACTGGTTGCATGGATGCACTGGTTCGAGCTCATATTGTATCGATTAATGACGTCACAGATAATTGACGGCACACAGGCCATTAGTTACTCACGCTGACATCTCTTGATAATCTGGGGAATTTGTGTGACGACCAGACCAGTTCTACTATTATTGTACTACTCGTAGTAGAATAATCTATAAAACTTATGATGTAGGTTTATTTTTATTTTGGTTTTATGTTGTTGTTTTAAACGGTTCTTGAAATAAAATGTGTAATTATTTGAAACAAAGTCTTGTTTATTTGCATCGGCCCACTATAAGTAGGTATTTTTTTAAATTGAACTTTCTTGTTGATAGGTATTATCTATATATGTAAATGATTTTATCATTTGAGTTTTATTCGAGACGATAAGAATATACCAACACGTGCCTGATATCACGAGACACGAGCTCAAAAATATACTTACTAATACGATTATGCAATAGTGATTTAAGAAGGTTTTTTTTGTAGGTTACACAGCCAAGTGCTAAAAAACAGAAACCTCTGTCATGGATTTTGTTTTTGTTTCGGATATGTCAGTCTGTCTCTCTGTCCGTCCTTATGCCACAGTATTTTTTTCGGAAACTATAAGAATTATACTCTTGCAACTTAGTAGATGTAATCCGTGAAACGAAAAATAGAAATAAAATCATTTTTTTTTTGGTGTGTCCATTGAGTACTAAGAAGTCAGAACTAACAACTGACACATTATTTTTATATTCTTACGATAGAGCGACGCTTATAAAGTGGCAAAATGTGGGGCCATATTCAAAACAAGACAATGATGATACTAAAAAAAGTATATACATATGTACTTACATCATTATATTTACGTGGAATAGTAGATTTTTAGTATAAAAATTATCGTATGTCCTTTCTCGAGTTTCAAACTATGTCTGTACCAAATTTCACAGAAATCGGTTCAATAGTTTAGGCTCGAAGAAAAGACAGACAAACAGAGTTACCTATCTACTTTCGAATTTATAATATTAGTTTGGATTTGGATTATGCAAACTTCCACTGAAAAAATAAGACCCTAAGTACAGTAGTATTGCACCAATAAAAAAACATCGATTTTAATTACAACGAAACTAAAAAGAAACAAGAATTTTGATCCTTTTGGTAATAGTCGCAGCGGATTGAAATTTTTAGACTATAATTTATTGCACTGCGCCAACGCAAACATTTAGATAACGTGGAAACAATCTATTTTTTCACATGTTGGCATTTGGCCTGCGTTAATGACTTCAGTGAATTAGCTAGAGGTGGGTGCAGTCCAAAAATATCTTGCAAACGTGAACCTATTACTACTCAAATACGTAAGGGCTTTCCCTAGTGCAAGCAAGTTCAAGGAATAATTCGTCATTTGACGTCAACAAACATGTCGCGTGACGTCACGACGCTCGCGGGGCGTATCAGACGCGGTATAGCTGAGTGTCTCTCGCTCGTGTTCCAGTTGCCGAGAGCGTGTTGCCGAGGCCAGTGCTACGATGGGCGTACCACACATCACCTCCTTCTGCTGGTGCATGGGACTCGAGGTCGGGGCCAAGTGCGTCGGCTTCATACACCTGGTAAGCTCACTTTGTTACAAGCGTCCGTTTGTTTACATTCTTACATAATACTATTATCAAGGTAATAATATCTACAAGTATTTCAACTTCATAGAAACGGCCGAAACGCGAACTATACCTACGCGCCCGATGTCGGGACGCGCTCGGGACGCAGACAGACGCGGCTGTACCGCAGTGACGAACGGACGATGTGTTGTCTTTTATTTAGAAATCAGCTCGAGTACATTATTTAATATGACGAATAGGAAATATTGTGCTGTTATTATGTTTGGTTGCATGAATTCGTCAATAACGCATCCAGACATAAGTTTTTTTTAAATTACCTGGAAACTCTGAAAGATAAGACTATAAAATAATTTTACTTACTAGTAGCCTAGGTAGGTACATAATGTGTGTCTTTATGGATCATTATTTCCAGTTATCTCACGAAAACAGATGTTTGAATTTATAAATAATATGAATAAAGTTATTGAGACGAGTGAAATAGGTAGTTATAGGCGGTTCTGGTTCTGAATGAATCATGATACGTTAGGTACCTAACTACTTACGCTTGTGTTAAAACGGTTAATGTATGTTTTGTTAGTTTGTATAATTCAAAGTAGAGAGTGTGGTATTTTATTATTCATAATATTTGTTTATTATCTACGTTTATGAATATAATACTAGAAAATATTTAATAACAACGATAAAACAGCTAGACTCATGTAATATTTTGATGTTTGAGGGTTGTGATTTTAGAACATTCGTAGTCAGCTGTTCAGTTCGGCATTAGTCCAAAGAAATCAGGCCAAAGAAATTTTGTTTGTTTATTTTTAAAGCACTTTATTTGTTTATATATAAAAAAAGGATATTTGCAATCACAAAACTAAATGGAAACAGAAAGTAAACAAAGGTAATTAAAATACTGGAGACGAGCAGCCCTAACGCATGTTTACGTACCGCGCGGCTGTAGGTATTTATTTCTTTCAAGCGGCCGAGTTACAATACTGTATGATATTTATACTGTGCTATTATGCTAGGTATAAGTATGATAGAATAGGTACGTATGAGTGCGTGTGTATGTGTATATGTATTCGCGAATAGAATAATGATATCGCGTTTTTATTGCCTTGATAACTGGTCTCATGTTTTATTTTAGCGGAAACTGGTTTTTTTATAAGTTATTTGTGTTAATGTTTTGTTGTGATAATTATTTAGGGATATAAAGGAAACAGACAGCGGGCAGCAGACCATTTTAGTTGAGAGTAGCAAGGGACAGGATTCTTTGGAAGGAATTTAAGAATTAGGGACCTTAGGTAACCCTATGTAAAAGTTAAAAAAGTAAAGTTTTGCTTACTGTCTGTATGTGTAGTAAATCCGAATACAGATACTTAATCTCGCTAGCAATTTTGTGTTGTTGACCTTTGTTGACATAATATAAAACTTCACGTGCATAAATTACTAATTTACCTTGAGTACTTATAGATACTTACGTACAGAGAACATATCTAAGGCGTCTGTACATTCGTGAAGTATGTATATCTACCGCTCTCTATTAAGATAAATTTAAGAGACACTATTGTCACAGTTGGTCTGCGATTTTCGGTACATTTATATATTCGGTATACATATGTACCAATTATTGGTATTCGCGAACACGTTCGAGACGCTACCCTAGTCACATGTTGCATTTTAAACAAGCAACATTTTTGTTCACCTCATAAATATGGAAATTAACGCCCGCTGGACTAACGCGCGCAGTTTGGCGAACTATATTTATTTACTTTACTGAGAGAAATGTGATGTTGTACGCTGCAGAGATAAGAATAGATAAAAAAATTGATAATCCTCTGCATTTCATTTTTGAATGCGGCAATCATTATTTTTTTTCTTAAAAAAGGAAAGGTTTCCCTTCCAAAAAATAAAATAAAAAATGCAGCTATGTATTTCGGTTGGTTTATCCAGATTTGACAAGGCTTTTAGTAGATGCATGATGGGCGTCCCTTTGCTCTTCTTGAGTGGAATCTTGTTTAGATCCTGTCGTCCTGTAATTTGGGCTGAAGTAGTTACAAGAGCCTTTTTTGAGGAGGAAAAATCATCAAATCTTTTTTCTTCCATAGGGAATAGCGAGAGGGAGTGTCAGACTCTTACTAACATAAAACCACCCATTCCTTCTCCTGATCTAGGCCTAGGCCGCGGTACCTTATTTTGCTTGACCCGCCACCCCTGTTCAACATCGGGCCTGCTGGGCCCCACCTGTGGTTGTTACGACTGCGGCCTTTGATGTGTACAATCTATTAACCACTTGACTGCCTGTATATAAGACATGCATTGTGTATCGCGTGGATCTGCGTTCCGGCATACCAGGGGTAAGGGACCATGAATACTCATGTGTATCTTCTCTTGTTCATCAGCTGGTGTCGTTCATCCTGATGATCCTGTGCTCTGTGTTCGCGGAGAATGTGCGCGGGTTCGTGGGCACGGCGGAGGACGCGGGTGACGGCCTGTACGCCACCTGGTACAAGATCGCCGTCACCACCGCCGTCGTCACCGTCGTGCATGTCCTGCTCGCCTTCACGCTGCTCTTCTCTGTCTTCAAGGTAAGCTCCATTCGCCAACAAGACTTCAGAAATAATTCGATACTGAACTTGGTAAACGTTATTGTGAACCGTCTTCTAACCGCTATACAACATAAGAATAAGCAGCAGTAAAAATGCGTCTCGCAGGTATTATTACTGGGCATTTTATTTATATGTACAAGCACTAGCGACCCGCCCCGGGTTCGCACGGGTGCAATGCCGACATCAAATGTCTCCACAAACATTTTCTCCCCGTCGACTTTTAGGTAATGTAAAGATGAAAGACAGGTGATCGCCGTCACCATGTTGTATGCGATGTCTTATTATTGTTGAGTGAAAACTATGAGAATAAGTTTCGTCATTTTACATCGATATGTGTTGTTCAAGTGATAAAACATTGGATTAATTATCCATAATTTGATAATGAACAATAACAGCTACGTTCACATTTTACGTACCTAAAAAATCTTAAGATGAAAGAAGCAGTTTGCAGTGTGTTTCCGTTCTGTCTGTTTCAAGAAAACTAGAACCCACTGTATAACGAAAAGAACACGATTGGCAATCTAGTTAATTAATCACCTAGACCATCAAAGTGTGGATACTTTGTAATCCAGAGATATATGGGATGTTGCTCTATTTTACGAGCTTGCTATTTTACGATGTAACACAAGGTTGAATCTACAAACAAACCCAATATACCTAGTTAACGACGCACTCAAAGCTAACTTTATTCTTGTGACACATTAATTTAATTTTCTTTCCCCTTTAAAGACGTGACTTATGTTACCTGCCTCTTAGTTAAATTGCAAATTATTTGGGTTGGCACAACTAAGTATGTGTTCAGATTCAGTTTTCCCCTATCAGATGTTTATTTATTCATTATATGAGCAATATAAACAAATCGTAGAAATTATAAATTATAATGTTTAAAAATTATGCTATCAAATTACTTATATTATAATCATTAATAGAGTAGATGAAAGCAATTGTCATTTTAAATTAATAATGTTATCGTATCACAAACACTTTATTCTTTCATATCATTTCTAACACAACTTATCCGTATTTCATTTAATCGTCTTTTGAATTCCTAATTATCTTGTGTCTTTAAACTAAATCTATGTTTGTTTTTATGTGATAGTCCGGCAAACAAGCCTACCGATTATCTGATGGTAAGCAATCTTCGACGCCCATGCAAACCCGCAACGCCAGAAGTTACAAGCGTGTCCGGCCTTTCGGGGATAAGGGTTTCGGAGATTTAGGGATTAAGGTGGCATGGATGAGGGGAAGGTGTGGGTACGCCTTCTGGAACCTCAATGACACGGCGAAACACACCACAGTGATTGTTTCACACAGGCTTTCTTTGAGGCCGTGGTATCACTCCGGTCGAACCGATCCATTCGTGCCGAAGCTTGGTTCTACTAACTTATAAACACACATATATTTACACTTGATCCTGTAATATAAGACTGGCGATCATGCCAATTCTCTGTAAGGGAATCAAACAAGCAAATATGGTATTTATTGGTTCTCCTGTTCTACAACTGATGTATTAAGAATTGTCCATATTGTTATACCCAGCGCAAGACATGCGGTATCCGCGCGTGGGTGTGGGTGATGTCTGTGCTGTGCGTGGCGGCGCTGGTCTGCATCCTGGTGCTGGTCGGCATGCACGGACTCTCCGGCTCCGGATCCGATATCTTCCTCTCCTTCCTCGAGGGACTCATCTTCTTCGGTGAGTTCTTTCTTCCACTACACGTAAACTCTAGAGATTGTCATGCCGTCGGATTTTGTTGATCCGGAGGTTAAGGCTGCTTTTAATTCACGACGGGTTCGGAACCTGGCAAGTACCGAGTTATGTGTATTTTCTACGATTATTTGGAAACCAGTGACAAAAGGTGAAGTAAAACATCGTGAGGGAACCTGGACTTATAATTTCAAATTGTAAGTTTGGTATCACCAATCCACCTAAAGTAAGCGCGGTGATAAATTCTCAAACCTTCTTCCTGCAAAAAGGAAGGCTGTTACACAGCAGTGGGCACTTATGGGCTGGTGTTAATACAATCATGCCATTCATCATCATCATCATCATCAGCTTATAACGCCAATGAATCTCAATAAAATTGTTGTGGAAACTGTTATTAAATTCTCTTTTAAATTGTCTAGTGAAATAAAAATGCAAGGTTTTAGTGTATAAATAAATTAGGTGTTTGTACAGGTGCCAGACTTGCCTAGCTATGTAGACTGTACCTACTTAGTTAACATTCTCAATGATACACTTCTTTGTGTAATGTGAAATATGGAAATTTCTTGCGTCTGTCTGTCTAATAGACTTATTCTGCAACTGAAGTAATGACTGCATTATACCTATTGTATAATCTTAGCGAAGATTTTTAAAGTAGTAGTGTCAAAATCTGTTAACTGTTTTAAATTTTTTTTATCGCAAATCTTACAAAATTCTTAACCATGAACATTTTCCATTTTCTTATTGTAGGTAGTGTGTCTAGCCAGTCTAGACCATTCTTTGAAATGCATTCATAAATCTTCACACTTTTGTAAAATCGAAAATACATTCATCAATTTTTTTCGTCACTCTTTATAATAAAGTGTATTACCTGATGGTAAGCAACCGAGACTGCCCATGGATACCCGCTACACTAGAGAAGTTACGAGTACTTTGCTAGTCTTTTAGTTATTAAGGGGTTTCGGGAGGAATGAGGGTTTGGGGAAAGATTGGGTCTCCGGTAAACCCCACTCACACGGCGATACAAAGCTGTGGTTGTTTCACTTCACATTACTGTGAACTTGTATATCATAGTGGTCACAATACTACGGGAAAATGTATTAACAACATTAATTATTATCCATTTCCAGGAGTGATGGCTTACTGCATCCTGTGCGTGAACAGCTACTACTTGATGTTGAAGAGTGCAGAGGACATGGAGGGCCCAAACAAGTCCGTCTACTAAGCTCTTGCGTACTGCGTCACTCATGATACGTACTTATTTTGTTTTTGAACATGACCTCACAACACAACACAGGATTCTGCATTAAGCAAAAATGGGGAAATAATTTCTTATATCTACAATTTGGTCAAAGCATATTTTCGCTAAGGCGTTCTGTTAGTAGCCCATGCCCATAAAGAAACTCAATCAGTTAATAAGCCAAAGGAATGAAATGTACTTATCCATAAAATAATACACGAACTCAGTTTCGGGACTATTGAATGCCACCTTTAATGAAATTATTAATGATAATGGTGCCTATGTAACACTATATTAAATAACAAATATTAAACTTCTTGAGAGTTAAGGTACCTAAAATATTAATACATACATTATATACATTGGAAATCTATGCATACAATGTCTAATGTTGTGACGGTCGTTCGTGGGAATATTGCTTGGAAATGAAGTACCAAGTAATGAGTGGTTTTAAAGTACTTTTTTGAAGCAAGAACGAGTTTTAAGATACAATAAAAACATTTTTAAACGAATAAGAACAGCCATTAAGCATTTTTCCTATAGGTGCGTAATTTATAGAATGGTACTAAATAACTTTAATGGAATCGTGGTTAACGCGAAAATGTTGCGTTACGTACAAATATTATAATAATGAAAGTAGGTGGATATATTTATCTGTTTATCGTAGAAGTTGATGTTAAGTGTTGAACTACCCTGTTGCATGCTACACGTAGACTCTTAATCTTGTTTACAAACTGTCGTAAGTTTTCGAGAATGCTCGACTAATTTCAAGCCAAGATCGGGGCTCATAATGATCCAGACTTTATTGACCTGCAAATATTCATAATTATAGTTAATTATTCGTACTTAATGGTTTTACTGTGTACGGTGTAATTCGGACAGTTTGTACGATGATGTCATTGCGTTTGCACGCGCTATCCTCGAAAATGTCAGACAAGGTTAAACGCCTCCCATTTGTATTGTTTCTATTAGCCGTTTATCTTATCTGAATGTTTTTTTGAACAAATGGTTGCTAGCTTCAGACTAAGTAAGGTTGAGTTGGTAGTTTATTGTCATACATTCTACTCATAATACGTGGAACTCGTAACTGGCACAAACTTTGGTGTTGCATTTATATACTATAAGGATAATGTAACATTCTTTTACTCATTTATTGATTCATATCTTAGTTTATCGAATATTTCTTTGTTAATAATAGTAATTGCATTTACTGCATGCAACAGGGCCTAAGTTAAGTGTAACGTTTTATAAATATATTTTTAATGCTTAGATATTTAACTGTAGCGGCGGTCGATTATAACTAGAATTTAAATATATAACACAATTTTTTTAATGTTACCTGTACCTTATTGGAAATGAATCTTGAAAGGACAAAATTATGATATTGATATAAATAGAAATTGTATTCCAAATTACGCGGACGAAACCGTAAGCATTTCTAGTCAAATGTTTGGAGTAAATTCACGGGGATACGTGTTCTTAGGTTTTATAAATAAGATAGGCAGTATACATACATACATACATCAAATATTTGCTGGCTCGATTAGTAATTCTGTTTGTACTGTAGTTCTGGGTAAATTTGACCAACGGTTAAACAGAAAGAAAACTACATTCTGTCTAGCGACAGTATATTGTTATACTAAGCTATGTATTATGGTTTTTAATGAACAAAATATTGGAGTAATTATTATGTTTTCGGCTTACTCGCGTAATAATTTGACGAGATACTCGACTAGTTTCAAGCCATGCTAGAGGCCCATATTCATGAGCAGCATTCCGCGACACGCGACGCGGCGACTGTCGCGTTGCTACTCTACAGCCGAAAACATAATAATTAATTTAGAACGTCTCACGAAAGTTATATGAAAAAAGAATATTGGACATTTTTTATAGCCATTAATCGACTTAGTAGCTTAACAATGGTAACTTGGCTTACGGCCCATTAAAGACAGGCCTGGGTTTATCTATATCTATGATTCAATAATGTGAATTCCAATATTTTTAATGCAGAGTTAATTTTTGAACAATTTTGTATTGACAGAATAATTATGTATTTGTATGAGTATTGTGGTGACTGGAACGCGACCTATTTATGTAAGTTTGATAGTTTTAAGAGGGAAAGTAATTTATATTTCGAAATCACAAGTATAACGTTACTGAAGCTTCTTTGGAGACATGATCTGTAATGTTATGTTATATTTGAATAGTACTACACGAGATTTGGTCTATAACTGCTAACATTTTTATTACTTCTGTCGCGTTTCAGTGTGTGAATGATACATAGTGAAGGGTACCTCCACCTGCCAATACCTCTGCTGAGGACATTATAAGTGCTCCTTATGACTTGCCTCAAATTTTTGATATACATATTTACATTAAATAAACAAGGTGCTTGTACCTTATTAAAATAATTAATTATTGACATTTACGAACAACTTCCAATGATAAAATATTAATATTCAAATTGAAAATCTGTAGAAGTATTTAATAATAAAAATATATTTACTGTTGTTTTAAATAAACTCGTCCGTAAAAGTGTCTTAAAATGTCAAAAGAGTTGTATGATAATGTTGATGCGCAGTGGCTTAAATAAATATTTATACATTTTAAACTATGAACATACAAAAAAGTTTCTCAACTCAGTATAGTTGATTGTACAAGAGTGCCAATAGATGTCGCTCAAATCGTAAAAGACTTAGCGACTTAATACAGAAATTTATTGTAACTTTTAGGGCCGATTTCACCACTTTTATTTTATTATATATGTAGCCGACACATTTTTGTGGGATTACTGAGTAACTTAAAGTTTGACTTCCGAATACACTACATACTAAGTACAACTGGCCCTTACTGTACCAAAATATGTAGTTCATTAGGCTTTTTTTATTGAAATTTTAACTGTTTCACAAGATAATAAAGTTGAGAATGTTAAAAACGTGATGTAAACTGAAACCTTCAATAATACAAGTTGAATAATTACAAAATTGTTACCAACGGTTATAATGTAATTAACACCGGGATAACACTCCCGGTACAGATACTTAAGTGTACTTGTAAGTGTAGACGATAAGAATTTTTGTATAATTTTTTCGCCAGCTGTATTTATTAAATTTGCTATTTTATGGCTTTGTTTGCCAACTTTTTTGTTTTATTTAAGTCATAATTACGTGGTAGAACTATAAAGCTAGAGTTAAGAGGTTTACCTACTCATAGAAGAAAATTGCAATAGGGTCCTACCTCATCTTGGTTCTAGCGACTTTAGTACATAGGTCTTCTAATATACCTGGTAAATAGTGTCATATTGACATGGTATACTTAGATGTGTTACCATATCACTATCTCTCTCTCTCTCTCTCTTTCTCTCTCTCTCTCTCTCTCTCTCTCTCTCTCTCTCTCTCTCTCTCTCTCTCTCTCTCTCTCTCTCTCTCTCTCTCTCTCTCTCTCTCTCTCTCTCTCTCTCTCTCTCTCTCTCTCTCTTTCTCTCTCTCTCTCTCTCTCTCTCTCTCTCTTTCTCTTTCTCTCTCTCTCTCTCTCTCTCTCTTTCTCTCTCTCTCTCTCTATTGTTTACTTTACTTTTATAATGACTGATGGTAAGCCATCTGCGTCACCCATTACAGCTAAAACACCAAAGGATTATACATATGCCAGACTTATGTGGGTTGTTAAGATTTTGAGAACTGTCAATAGAGGAGAAAGGTTTTGGCATCACACAGCGATACACAAGGGTATGGTTGGTTGGTTTCACGCTATTCTGTAAGGCCGTGGTATAACTTTGGTCAAGTCGTTGCATGGCTCTCCCGCACTGCCAGTTACAAAGGTAAAAATAAAACTGCATAAAATAATTTATACATGTTGTTTATTCATCGAAATAACTTGTAATTACGATGAAGTTTCACATTACTTTAGATTTGTTTAATTTCAATAAATATATTACAACTCTATGCATAGTACGGTACCAACGATAGTTGCTACTAACTGTATTCATAACTTATGTTTTATAGATGTGAGGCCTTCCGAGCTTTCTCTCCAACTATACAAGTCGTTACGCCACGTCAATATGACGCTCGCATCGCGTTGACAGACCAATTTAACGTATAATTAGTAGAAATAATGATTTCTGAGTTCAAAACATAACGTTCATTGTTATCCAAGGGAACCGAGCAAACTTAACTTTATGATAATATTCGGCAGTTATTATTTACATGAGATTTTTAATTTAAAATTGTATGTCCAATTGGTCTATCAACGATTTAAGTAACATTTTTCTGTTAAAAACAAGAATTTACACAAAAACATCTACTATTAACGATTTATTGTAAAATTTGAAATCGATAGCCTGCTCCAATAATTTTAGCAAGCGTGTTCCTCAATATACCTTGCTATGTGTTTTTATGCAGGCGCTGAATTGTGTCACTCGAGATCAGATACAGTTTGATTTATTTTTACAGGTAATGTGTTCATTTAGGAAGCATTCATTAATATGGCTTTTAGTTCCTGATAACTCAATTGATTATTATCAATTTTTATTCAGCGCTTGAGTTTGTTTAAAAACTTTTGAAATTATAAAATCGTTGTGTGCCTCAATGGAACAATAATATGCGTTAGTAGACAATGATTGAAGAACACGCTTTAAAAAGAAAGTTACATATTTATAGCAATAAGAAAATACAAATAGTCTTTATTGGAATGTCTTCGATGTTCATTCGATTTATTAACGAGCCACATAACAAGCACTCTCCACAGTTACTTACATAGGGCATGTACCTATTTGCTTTTTTCAAACTACATACCAACCTATGTATATATCTGCCTTTTTTCTATAAAGGTACGCTTTAGTGGTCTCGTTACTCAGTATTAAAGCCAATTTTTTGACAAACAGACAACACTTGTGTCGTGTAGGTAAACCTATGACACTAGTGACACAGCGAGCCACTTCGTTGTAGACAATATTAATACAAATGTATCTACAGAGCTGTGTGCAACACATACCTGTATGGAATAAGGATGCGGTGATAAAATAATGTAAGTACTAATTAAAAACTAGGCACAAGCTGAAATTGTCAATATTTATTATTTACAAACACATCTGTTTTTAAAAAGACGTTGTTGCTTGCAGGACACACAGCTCCGTTCACAAACAAATAAATTAAAAACAATTATTGTTTCTCTACTCGCATTAACAGATATCATAGCCAATCAAAGTAACGATAGTTTCAACTGACGACACGTTATTAGTATATTTATACAGCTAGTTCGATTTACATAGTCTTTTCCTTGCCTCGAATGCCTCCGATAAAATTACACTAGACTGGGCACAAATATATATCTAAATAATATTAAGGAGTCATTATACAACATTACACGAAGTGTCGCGGCTCGCCGGACCGCTTCCTATACTTAGTTAAGTACTTCTTCCACAGTAAGTACAACAATGGATTGTAAAATTATAACTTCGATTAAGTTTAAGCTGAATTCTACAGCTTTGTAATAAGTACTATCGACTATTACTCTAATAACAGACTGACACGAACCACTAATCACATAAACGCACACGTTAAACAAAATTTACTGTGAGTAAAAACGATATATACTAAATTGCCGATATTATTGGTACGATTAAAGAAATAAACTTTGCTATGTGTTCAAGTTCTAGTGTTAGTATCAGCCGTCATTCAGTCCGGCGACTCGCGTCACACATTAAATCTAAGCGGGGGAACTTTATACATTGCAAGTCGGGCTACACAGATAAATACTTAACTAAGGTATTGCACGAGACGGGCTGGTAATGTACATACTTACAGGACACGCGCGGTGTCACAGGGCACCATGGAACCCTGCACTGCAGGAGATACACTCTACGTAAACAAGAACGCCAGAACCAAATTATCTTTTTCATAGGAGGGTAGCTGTCGTCGCATCAAACTGCGACCAGCTATCAAGAGCCAGGCATCTTTCAAGACTGTCAGCGGCTGCAGTAAGCAGTTCCCAAAGACTCGGCGCTCTTCGTAGAAGGACGCTTTTGCACCAGCTGATATCGATGTAGAAGAAGTCCAACTGGTTTGAACCCATTTCACTTTGAAAATAGGTGCTTATAACAAATTTCAGTAGTTGGTTGGTGAGTGTTCCCTGCGTGTGGATGGGTCGGGCGGTCAGTAGAGGTGCGCGAGGTGATGGTGTGCGGGCGGCGGCGCCTCCGTGCCCACGTCGATGTCGGCGGGGCCCTCCTCCTCCGCGCTGCCGGCCCGGGCTACGCCACGCACCTGTTTTACAGACACAAACCGTCAATATCTAACAACTATCAAAGCTACTTCACCAATAAACAAATTTAAAATCCAATTCTTCATTAGTGCTTATAATTAACTATTTTTTTTTGTTTATAGGTAATAATTAATTGAAAGCATTTTTTACATTAAGTTATCTGCCTGGGTTGCGGGCAAAACATTGCCATGTAGGTAACGAGATCCCGGCACAAAATTGGAATAGGGTGGGGCTTTTGGAGAAAAAGAGTCTGGTACTAAAGTGCGGGAGAAGTCATTAAGCACCTACAGCAGATTTTTGACTTTATAAAAATTCACTGGTCTGGCAATATCCAGAGAGACTGTTAAAATTCGTGAGTAGACTCGGGAGTAGTGTGTACCTGCAGTAGCATGTTATGGTTGAGTATCCTGGCCTGGTGCTCCTGTGCCTTGGCGCGCAGGCAAGCGATGCTGTTGTTGCGGAACGCCTCCGCGTCCTCGTACATCTCCCGCCCAGCCTCGGGAGACGCGCGGCCCTTCGCTGATGACGACGCCGTTGTCGAACTCGCTGGGGAACTCTGTGCCTGGAAACGTTCATTCAAACATTCTAATTAGCAGATTCACGATAATTTGTGCGTCTTCGTATTAATATTATGTTAGTAAGTATTCGGCAGTGCTGTGAAAATCGATGTTTCCAACAGCAAATTCTTGCATCAATTTATATCTACTACTAGCGGCCTTCCCCCGCTTCGCAGGGGTCCAACTATCTCGCTATCAAAGGGTCACTTTTTTCTAAAGTTCCCCTCTACTTTTCTAATATTTTCTTTGATAAGAACCTTCTCCTGACAATAACAAATACAACAAAAAAAGAATTAGCGAAATTGGTCCAGGCGTTGTT